AGATGTGGAAAACTCTCCATTTGCTATTGCTTTTTCAGCTTGGCCTCATTTAATACATAAATCCCTGCTTATTTATTTGACTATTTGTAATTTGGTCTGTCATGTAACTTCATTGTTGAGACCTTGAAATGAGGCTGGAAACTGTCTGTCTTTATTTCCCTGCCAATAAAAACACAGCTGTGTTTCACCCCTATTCAGAAACATCATAATGTAGTTTAAAGAGACTTAAAACAGTGAAATGGATCATGCCATGAAAATGTCCACCCAGATTAAGACTCGCTTCAACCTTCACTATGAATCATGACTATTCATCTGTGTAGAACAGTGAGGCTTTATATCTGCTCTGTACATTATCATACCACGCTACCAGAGATGTACAGTAGTTTGTTGCTCTGCAGAACAACACCATCCTTCTCAATAAGCTAAAACTTGATTGCTGTTAAAAGGCCTAAGGATAGGTCTTCTTCAATTGTTTTAGAGATTTTGGGAACCAAATGAGAGGAATTTTGTTATACTGTAACTGTCCTTCTTTAATGAAGACTAATGGTGGGTGTTCGATGATCCACATTTGTCAAGCATTTTTTATGGAATGAGCAAGAGAAACGAGGTTTACAAACCACAAGGAGGAACAGGAAATGATGCAGGCACGATTTGGGAGCTGAGCCACTAAGGAAGCACTTTACACACTGCTGGACACATGCAAGGTGTAATTGATTTGTTTCTTATATTTATTTAATTAAGGTACAGCTCACCTCAGTTACCTTTTCATTATTGCTAGTGAATGAGATAATTGGTGCTTTTTCTTAAGCCTTTGTTATTGGAGTTTCAATTCTTTTCTTTACTTCTGTCAATTGCAGGTGAAGCCTTCTGGCCGCATCATCGCTATTCAAATCCAAACAAACCCTGTATCCTCAGCACGTCACAGGGGTTATGTACGCTCACTTTGTATATATATGTGTGCGTGTGTGTGGTGCCTAAGTGTTGTGTGTATTTGCATACAACCATATTATGTGTCTGTTCATCTGAGAAAATGGGTGACGTGTGTTTTTCAGAGTTAATTTGCATGTGTGTGTGTGACATCCACACGTGGAAGTCATGATCAGTGACAATGGTAATCCATTCCACAGATGGGGAGACCTCTGCAAAGACTGCACAGTCAGACTAACTCTGCTAGCTGTGCAGACGGACCAGCTTTGACCTGATGTGCTGTTTTATCCCAAGTTCCTATGAATAAGAACTGTGCTATCAAATGATACTAGTATTTTTCTAGTTTTTGCCTTCCCTTGCTGAGTAAAAGTACTTCTTATACATTCTTGAAGTGACACTCATTACACAACCAGAACCAGTGGAACAGCTTGTGACAACACATCTGACAAGGCTTATTCTTTCCTCAGTATCTTTCAAACTGTGTAGACATGTGCATCCTTTGTTCCCCCCAGCCTTGGCTACTATTGATTTCCTTTGTGTGTCACATATCTGAGACATTTTTAGAAACAGAGTAGCACCAGAACATCGTCTTACCTATGCACTGTGTTCGAGTCATCCCAGAAAGAAATAATGGAAAACACGTTGTTTTCAAGTCACTGTCATTATGTTGAGATTTGTTTTGTAAAACTACCATTTACACTGCTGAATCTGTCCCAATATTTAAGGTAAACATAGAATTCCCCTATATTAGCTTTAACAGCAATTTACAGCAGCATCACTCACCTCATCCAGTCACACTGAGTTCACAAAGTTAGTTTGAAATAATGAAAATGAATATTGTATTTATCTAGCAATACATCTAATTACAAATACACCATATGAACCATCACAAGCTTCTATGTATTAAGTTAAAAATAGGTCTACCTCTTTGACTGGTACACCAGACAAAGGGTAAATGAGGGTCATGAATAAAATATTTTGTCAGATTGGGGTGAAAAGATGGCTTGACTTGTCTGTGCAGATTCTCAGTCATCCAGGTCATAGTAAACTGAAAAATCCAAGAGGCTTCATCAGCTCTGACTGACTGGTGTTGAGCCGGAGATATTTATCCCCCTCGGTGGTGTTTCAGTCCTTTGATGGCCAACAATTATTGTTAAGGGACTAATTAAGTTAGTTAAGTTAGTTAAGGAACAATTATCGTTAAGGGAATAATCGTTAAGGGACATTGTTGGCCATCAAAAGACTGAAACACCACCGAGGGGGATAAATATCTCCGGCTCAACACCAGTCAGTCAGACCTGATGAAGCCTCTTGGATGAGAGGTGAAACGTCTTCGACCTAGAAATCTAGTCCAGTTGATTTTTTCTAAGTTTTTTCAGATGGCTTGACTTGTGATGTGCAAGACAAAGCAGAGCCTCCTGTGGAGTCATAGATAAAATAAGGAGTGCAGGCTGATAACTTCAGCAATATCAAACCCTGTCTGGCAGCTGTACTTCTGACCTTTTGCCTCTTGCCTCTTAATTGCTTGTAACTAAGAAAAAAAGCTTATTGTGCTTTCATGTTCATTAAAGTGTAAATCAGGCATACCTGAGTTAGGTGTGTTGAGAAACACCAGTGTTACAACTGGATCAAGAAAGGGGGTTTATGGTCAAATGGAAATATGGGGAACATTTTCTTTAAGAAAATGATTCTTCAGCTACATAACTGCGAAAGACCTCACACTGATTCTTAACCCAGTAGGTGAGAAATAATTACATTCTAAATAAAGGTTTTGGGAAACAGATTCAAACTTTTGTTCATGGAATTTGTTGACAGTTATAAAAAAAATATATTTATATAATATTATCAGACCTACACTTTAAGAACACTGAGCATATAAATGCAAAGTAAAATATAAAGCTACTACAAAACCAGTAAGGTAAAATACAATTTAGCAGAGTGGTTTTAAAACTATTTTTCTAACTTTTCTCAACATTGTAAAAATGTTCCCCACCTCCAGTAATTTCTCAAATGCATCCACCTGAAAGGGGGAAAGGTTTGATAAATTGTTCCTCAATTTGCAAATGCAGCTTGTGTCAGGGTAGCAAAAGTATTCATGACCTTGTTTTATGGGCTCATAGACCATAAAGGCAAACAATACTGTCAGTAGCTTCACTGTAAAAGTTCTAGTATTGCTGCTGTCAAAGATATGAACTTCATTGTAGTGTGAAAGTTGTCAGAAATATCTGTAAGCAGAGAAGGAAATTATGAAATAAAGAGCAATACCTCAAGGCAATAGGCACTTCAATTTGTAAATCAGCTCCAAGCACATAGCATATGCATTTGGCTGCTGAGCTAACAAGATGCCACAATGCCAGGTGTTAAATCAGTGGGCAATATACTGACATATACTCTTTAACACTGAGAACCTTAGGGTTGTTTATTTCCCTATTTGTCCCATTTTAACACATCCATCTTTGTCTGCTATTGACCTGTTTATTCCCTTTGCCTCTCAGCATGTAAAACACTGATCATTAAACACTATACTTTAAAATCACACCACGCATGCATTGAAAAATTAGGAATCCTTGTATCTGCAACAAAGAAAGAAGCTGAGGTAGCTTGCATGAAAGTCATGAAACATTTGCTGTGTTTATCGATGACAATACCCAGTGCTAATGGCCTTGTCTAAAATCAGGTCTTTTCTAAAGCAAACAGGTTAGCTCTTTTCTCCATATCCCAATGACTCATATACAGCCTGAGTGGTGTGGCACTATTTTGACAGAGCAGAAGTGCAAAACAGAGGTGGCCATGGAAACTGACCTATCCAATGGGAGAACAGGACATGGGTGAGGCTGACCGACTGACAAGAGTTTTTGTCCCGCTCACTTTCTTTAGCTTGGTCAATTAGTAACTTCTTCTACACTCATTGCTTTGCAGGGAGGGAGAGGCAGAGACAGACGTCTAGATAAAGATAAACTAGTTACTGTATGTGACTTCCTTAGGGTTCTGTTTTTGCTTTGTGTTGAGCTCACCAAATCAAAAGCCTATCAACTAGTTTAAAATTAAAATTAAGCTTTCATTCTCAAATAAGGTGAAAGACTACAAGTGTAAACAATACCAATATGTTTTCAGAAAACACAGTTTTCTTCCAAAAGAGGCCCTATCCTCGTATGCACAAATAGTACTTTTTCACCACTTTAGTGAGACTTGTTAAAATGTACACAAGGACTTTACATTATACAAATGATTCTCACACTAAAACTATGGGTAAGATGAATAAATTAATCACTCACTCAAATGAATCTACCTTTTGCGTATCAATAAAGTAACCTGAAGCTGAATATGAACCTGTTTATTCATTGTAAGACATTCTGGAGTTCTAGTTATGGTTGAAATGTAAACATATACACATATATGGAAATACAGGCTCTCTCTTCAAATGCTAAGGATGGCAGCCTCACAGGGTTTCACACATTATGAACTATTAGATGCCAGTTTTTGTTGCCACACTGTCCAAAATGTAAGCTAAATTATGGCAGGATTTCTTCTATAAGATAATTATTGGAGATCCAAAACTGCTCATCAGCTTGAATGGGTGTAGGACTGCCACATGTTTGATTGCCTCTTGTGTTTTATCTGTTGACCTTTTTAGGAATTTTCTCTTTCTGTGCATGGTGCAGTGACCCCAATGACCTGTTAGAAGAAAAAGAAATTAAGTGTTTTTAGTGTTTAACTAAAGCTGTGGAAGGTAATTTGACTTCAGTAATCATCATAAGGTAAAAACTAAAGTGATCTGTGTATTTAAAACTGGCTTACATAAACTACATTAAACGCCTTGGACCAGTTTTCTTGAGGAATTAATTTTAGAATTTTTCATTAGTTTAAGCAATTACCAAATTGTACTTTGGAAATATAAAGCCGTGTAAACGTGCATTTAAACTGGATAAACCTCAATAAAATCCAAAGTTATGAGAGAATATCAAGAATGGGCTAATTCGTAAAATTATTTGACGTTCTGGAGGAAAAAAATAAGCCCATTTGCGTATTACCATCGTATATCCCTTCGCCCAGTACTATATCATGTAATGAGAAGGCAAGACGAACAACGACCTGGGCGGAGTGATTTAGTGAGGACTACACCCAAGCGTTTGTCCCATTGCAGCGGCTTCTTTTCGTTGCCTAGACCAGAAGAAAGCCGGGACGTGACGGAGCTGGGGGGATTTTTTTTTTCTTGCTTGTTGGAGGCCCGTTAAATACAGCTTCCTCGCAGTTTCTTCGTCGCTCAACAGACGGTTGTGACCTAACTTGACCCAGCTTATTCTTTTCATCTTAGAACTAATTTTACAAATATGTCCTGGCAAAGCTACGTGGACAACCTGATGGCTGATGGCAGCTGCCAGGACGCGGCCATTGTTGGCTACACGGACGCCAAATACGTCTGGGCATCGTTTGTCGGCGGTATATTTGCCAATATAACGGTAGGTGTGCTTTGTCTATTAATGTCTAAGGTTACATTGTAGGAAAATGTATATTCAGCATTGCAGAGCGTTTGTCAGAACAGCCAGGCCTTGTCGAATAAGGATAAGGCGAGCGGTGTGGTACACATGGTATCCTGTGGTCATTCACAAGATGCATTGGCACGCCTGCACCGCTGCTTTTCAATATCTCGTTTTTGTATCTTTATACTACATTTACTACACTTGGTGGCCTTATCGTTGACCCTTGTCTTTTTTAGAAACAACCACCAAAGCAACTGGAGATTACCAAAATCAGTGCTTAACAGTACCGCGAACTCGAGCTAAAGGGGCTTCGCAATGCTAGCAAGCTACCTAGCGTTAACTAAGCAAGCTAGCTGTGTTTGCTTGTGATACCGGTCAAATGAAATGAGCAACTCAGAAACGTTAATTAAGTGCCAAATAACAAATTTAGTTTGTTTAAAAACCGCCTAGTAATTGAAGCCTACAACATTCTACCAGCGATATCGCTGAGTAGCATAACCCAATATTAACATTGATTAGCAAACTGCAGCTTGTAGTTAGCTCAAATCAGGCCGGCCATTCCCACTGGAAAATCATTATTAGCTAACGGTAATAGCGCAAAGTTAACGGTACTCGCCCGCGTTCTTGTGGTGCTGTTGGGCTTTCGTTTTTTCCTAATCGGCTTCTGTGAATCACGCTGCTGCTACCGCCCCTTATTTTCCAAGATGGTGGATGCACTCACAATTTCTTATTCATTTTGTTCATGGAAGCTAATCAATACGTGCTGTGTCGGTTATCATTTGCAGAAGCTGTTTAAGTTCTTGTACGCGGTAGTTGTCTTTTTCAAGTTACCGCACGTAAACCTGAAACTTTCAGCATTTTCGTAATTTTAACTTGGCCACACAATAGTCTCCGGCGCTTCGTTGAACCTCCATTTTGTCGGTTAAATATACTATTTGTCAGTAATAGTTAACTTAATTATTTGTGTGAAGGTGAGTGCGTAGTCGTCATGTGACTGTCACAAACGTTTAGTGGAGCCAGTCGGGTGTGAAATATTGTTATGCCATGCTACAAAGTGAACTGTGAACGAGTGTGCCGCTGTTGGCTAATGTTGGTTACTTGGGAGTGTCCACTCGTGGCCAGAGTAGTATAAGGTTATCCTTTGACGAAGGATCGAATATACTGACATTAGCTTGCTTGTGTCCATGAAAAAGTCCATGTGAAGCCACATTTTCAGCTCCTGCATCCCAGCTTGCTACCAGAGTTGGCTCACCTGGTTTTGTTCACACTTGTCAAAATCCTTTTTCAAAAGAATGCAGCAAGTTAAGAGGATATGTGAAACGGCAGTTCAAGTTTCATGCGGGAATGGCGACTGATTCCCATTGGGGAGCAACTGTTGTAATGAATTGGTTAAGCGGGCCCCAGCATGCAGCTAGCTAACATGCTAACGTTGTCAGAGCCAGTAGAAAATCCCTTCGAGCTTCCCGTATATCACCTTCATGGGCTTCGTGTGTGCCATGACTGTGCAGTTCTGGAGTTGAACGGCGACGCCTTTTGTTTTTCAGATGGGTTAAGAGAATAAACCCAGCTTAATGAACATGTAGTAATAGCGCGGGCAGTTGTGTACGTTTGTACCTGTCGGATGTGCAGTTATTGGGGAAAAGTGACATTAGCAGTTGTCAGACATGCTTAATGGTTTTGTCAGCTGCAGTGGACCTTGATTTCAGGATTCGCCGTCGATACTATAATGCAGACAGCTGTTATTCAACATTATTTCATCTCCAGGTTTGGATAATTTACATTAGACTACCAGCTAATGCTGTTACTAAGGGTGAGTGAAACTACAAAGTAATTTGATGTAAGAAAGGTTTGGTTTATTGTCACTGGACTTTTTAAGTTAGTAAAATTATAAGTTGTATGTTATCAGTTGTTAGTGACAGACGAGTGTATTTAGGCAACAATAATGCACTTAAAAGATGGGTAATTTTTGTAAAGGCCCTTAATCATGAACAGTGCACCTGTTAATTGAAATTCGTCATGTACTCAAAACCTGCAAAAGCCTCAACTTTCAAAATAAATAAATTGGTCTTAAAAGGTTTTTAGTGTTTTATCACTTGAACATGAGGTCCTTAGCATTTAGTTTTTCCTCATCAGGTCTCTTCCAGTTGTCCTCAGGGCCCATGTGATACTACATTCTAAATGTGTATATGAAGCATACATCTTGGGGGGGTGTTCTCCACATCTATCTTCCCTAGTATGGTTAAATTGAAACATTTCCCTTCTTGGTGCGGTTCATTTGAGCAGGTCTGAACATGGTAAGCGCACTCAAGTGTGGACCAAAACAACGGCACCAAGACCGCCTTTACTGGTTGTGTTGTCAGGCTGGTCCCAAGCAAACTCTGGAGTGGTTCGTTTGAGACGTAAATGTGATCTAATGTTGATAGGTACTAACTACAAGGAGTGCCCTGCAAGCTTGAGCTAAGTGGGTCCCATATGCTGCTGTTGGCATATCTTTGTTGTATTGCACAGATAATCATCACAGATATGAGCAAGTTCCAGTTGTGCCATTTCTCCATGTTGCAAAGAATTTTTTTCATATGATTATTTACTGGTGTGGAACACAGATAGGAGCAGCAATGTTAACAGATGACTTGTAGTGATGCGTTTTGGTTTGTGGATCTTTCTGTGAAGGGAAAACGGTTAACTAATTGATCTACTGGTTCAGACCAGTGCAATCCAAACTACAGGTTTGAAAATATTTAAGTTGGCTGCTGTACTAATGTAGTGTGTCAAAGGTGAGGCAGCACACGATTTTGGGCCTAGATTACCAAAATTGGATGCATGAGAAATGGAACATCCAAAGATGCCCTGCAAATACAGTTCTTGTTGCTAGAGGCTGATGCATCAACTTGATATTTACTCTGCTTAGGATGTAGGAATTCAAATTCTCAAACCAGTGTCATCTAAGATGATCACCAAAATAGGATAAGTTGTTTTTACAAGTCACTTTCTGAGATGAGTCCAGCATATACACTAGAATATGTTTCTTAAATGGCATTTTAATGGGAAAGTGTCCAAACCTTTGACTGGTAGTGTAGCTGAAAGTGTGCAACGTTCAGTACTTTTAATAGCACTGCAAGTTGAGAGGTAGAGAAAATCAGTTGTTTGTGCAGCATTTACTCTTAAAAGGCTTCACGGCACCTGCACTATAGGGTCATGAATAAGATATTTGAGAGCAGTGGAAAACCAGCCACAAGTCATCACTAAGGAAAACAAAAGGACCAAAGTCTCTACATGAATGGATTCATATTCTGCATCAAGATTGGCAGTGATATACTTGGACCTGATTTCTTGCTTTTGTACCTCCTTGTAGCCTGAAGAAATCGACGTTTTAGTAGGAAAGGACCGGGAGGGGTTCTTTACCGGCGGGCTGACCTTAGGCGATAAAAAGTGCTCTGTAATCAGAGACAGCCTCCAAATTGACGGTGACTGGACAATGGACATCCGGACAAAGAGTCAAGGAGGAGAGCCAACATACAATGTCTCTGTAGGCAGAGCCGGCAAAGGTGAGCATTACTCTCCATATTGATTTTAGTCTCGTGCATTTTAGTAGTCCTACAGTGACACCATAGCCTGCTTTGATAAAGTGCTGTTAGTTTAGCTATTTTTATTATGCCTATTGTTTATGCATGTGGGATAGATCTTGAATGCACCTTTCCTCAATATATGATGTACATGGGTTAAAGTGTCTGTCATAATGTCATAATAGGTGGGGGGGGGGGATGAATCTTGGATAAATGTGTAGAAATATGCAGTCTGTTATATACCATAACTTTTAGGAAAGCATTTGTGTGAAAATTTGAGGTCCTTCAGTATCACTAATCAAAGACTTTGACATTTCTAGCAGTTTCTGTTTTAATATCAATCCTAAAATCTATAACTTCCACCAACTGGATGCATGTCGGAACAACAAAGCTGGCATGTGATTTCTTCCCTGAATAGGTGAAACGCTTCACCACAGGAGTCACAGTTCACTTGTGGTTAGCTATTTGAAGGCCTTATAAGGTGCTTAAAGAAAATCTAAGTATTATTGTGATTAATGGTTATTCCATGTTAAAATGAATTTGATTTGATGCATAAGTTATGTAAAATAGTTAAAACCATAGATCCCTGCAGATTTTCAGTCAATAACTTGGTTTAAAGTGGTAAAATGTGAGTCCTTTTAAGAATGATGAACTCTGCTTTGTATCATACAACAATGGGTACACATTATGAAATTGAAGTTAAGTCCCTTTATAGGGACTTGCCTGAGAGTTGTGCCATTTTTCATGTTGCCTGTATGGGCCCCGTTGTCCCCACTTCTCCCAGAAATGAAGGCTTACAGGTGAGACTCTAAAGGGACAAACTTTTTTTTTACTCTGCACACTGAGCTTGCTCTTTGTGCTGGGATTTTCTGAAGACATCCTGAACTGCATGTTTTTCTTCTTTCTAGTCAACGCCCCCTGTCAAAGTTTGAACCTGTCCCCCTGCTCACATGCTTCCACTCTGTTCCTGTTAAAATGTCTTTTCGGGCACTTCAGGGTTTTTACATGTATTGAGGAGAGGTACCACAAGCATGCTGCTGTGTCCACATGTGCTGCATTAATGATGGTAGTTAGTAGAATCTTCACTTTCTTATTCTTTGCTGCTGGCAAGGTGCATATTGATTATAGATGAAATGAAAAAAAAAACTAGACATTTCAAGTGGAGAGCAGTAAATTTAGGTAGTACTAAGAGGGACACTAAATTACAGGGCACTACAAGTATTGTTTGGATGTGGTACTAAAGTATCTGAAGTAGTGAAAGCACGATTTGGACTAGTAAATTGAAATCTACCACTCATCTAGGCTGCAAGTTATGTCTGAGGCATATTGACAAGATGTTTCAGACCAGAAAGGTCACTATAGATGTTGTGATATTCTGCTCAGTGTTTGCTTTCAGAAGAGGTTTTTTAAGTTTTGAGGAAGATAAACTAAATATTTGAGAAATGTTCACTGAATTTACAGTTGGACGTGAAAAGAAAGGATGTAAACTTGTTTATTCAAGCGATAAACATCTGATCAGTGCGGTCACAACCTGACTGTATTTCAGGCCATTTTCAAAGCAGCGAGTTGCTCACAAGAACTGGGGAAGCAATATTACTAACCTAGACCCGTCATTTCTGAAATGTGTGCTCCACAACTTAAATGGGCCTGGATCTCCAGTCCATTGGTGACCTTACTGTGAGGCCAGAGATGTGGAAAAATGATTTCCTTTATCAGTAGTTAAAGAAATGTCAAGTTTTCATTTTTAGTGATGTTTAATGGTATCACTATATAAAAATTGTACAGATGAACTGCTTTGCATTCATCCTTGATATTCTCCTGCTGTACTCATTCTGTCTTAATTGTAACCTGACATAACGTGGTGTTTGACCAGCAGCAGCAGATAAGAAAATGAATGTTTTGGGCTCAATGCAGCTTTCAGACCAAAGGTGCTGCTGTGCTGTGTCATTGTCTTCCTTCGTCGCTGTCTTGTCCGCCTGCTCCTTTTGACTCTGTGCTCTTCTCTTATCACTTGTGTGATCTCCACACCTTCTCTAAATGTCCCTTCTGTCTCTTTTCTTTCAGTCTTGGTCTTGGTAATGGGCAAAGAAGGGGTCCATGGAGGCGGATTGAATAAGAAGGCATACTCGATGGCAAAATACTTAAGGGATTCGGGGTTTTAGTTTCTAGTTTTCATGTAGTTTGTGGTGTAGTTGATGGAGAGGGAAAAAAAACTAATGAAAAGAAAAACAAAAAACACAAAACTTAAAACAGGAAAAAAAAAAAAAAAAACCCAAAAAACCCAAATTACTGTCAAGCCTGTGTCTCCAACCCCCCCACCCCACCCCAAACGGTCTTACTAAAAAAGTCCCAGGAGTGTTTCTAACACAGGGTTCAGGCTCTGTCCTCAACAGTGTAGCCCCACATTTAAGTGGCAATAAAAAGTATTGTTTTCCAGCCCTGCTATCACCATATCTGTTCATTTATTTTGTTTTTTCCCCCTTTTGTGTACTCCAGCATTGGTTATTGTCATGGGAAAGGAAGGTATCCATGGAGGGCAGCTCAACAAGAAAGCATTTCAGATGTCTGATTACCTGAGGAAGTCTGGATACTAAAGCAACCTGTACCCAGCCACCTAGCAGCTCACCCTACCACCCTGATGCATTTCACACTACTTCAGTCCTAGATGCTACTAGTAGTTTCTTTTTGTCTTCTCTCCTCCTCCATTTATCCTTTTTTCCCCTAACCCATCCTCCTTTTTTTCCCTCTCAGCACACTTGAGCTATGTACTCTTTACCACCTTAAGCACTATGTTGATCCATAGCAAAGATGAGCATGTTGCTAACAGGAGGTCATGTCAAATCTGTACTTAGACCAGCAAAAACAATTCTGGCCAAACACTTGGACAATGAAAGCCACAGTGTCAGTTTGAAGTAGCTGTCTCTTTCTCCTGTCATGGTGCCCATTACTTTATCCCTTCCAAACCCACTCATACACACTCCCACCCTGAGCAGCCGATGCCTTTTGGAGCACCTGAGCACTAACCAAGCTCGTCATGTCTTCCTCTTTTGTTTCCCTCATGTCTGGGAGGGGAGACTGCATGTATATCTCAGTCCACGGTCACTTCCTCTCACACCCACCCATACTGTCCCCTTCCCATGCTCTCTCCTGCCAAAATTTGCTGTTTCCTTTCTTCATCCTGTTTGCTCAAAAGGAGGCGATGCTATAAACATCACAGGGATGCTCATTTTCAAACGCTACAACCACCCAACCAGTCCTCTTAACTATTCTCTCCCTTCAGATTCACCACCCTCTCCTGAATACATGTTGTGAAAAGGGAGGGGGTAACCTGTGTGCTAGGGTTCAGTTAAGGATCATAAACTGGCTTTGTGAGTGGTTTTGTCCAGATGCTAGTAGCCTATTCTCCTGTCAACCTCCTGACTACATGAGCACCCTTGGACATTCCACAGTAACAATGGCTCAGGCACTTAACACGGTTTTGTTTGCCAGCTCCTGTAATGTGTGTTTTTTTTTATAAAGGCTGCCATTTTTTGACATATCCAATAAATTTTTTTTTTTTTTTTTTTTTTTTATTAATAGGACCAAGTGTAGTCGAAGCTCGGGTGTTTATACAGATGCTCTAAATCATGTGAAGGATGACTGCTAACTTTTGATAAAGGAAACACTTAATCAGACAGTAATACTGTGGTTAAACATGACGCTAAAGGGGAGGTAAGAGTGTGAGTATCATTACATTGTATCGTTTTCTCAGTTTAGAATACAAACTACATTTGTACAAACCCATGCTGTGTTGACAACTACAAAACTGTGGAATAAATTGCCTTCTGTTCTAGTCAACCGAGCTCTGGGGTATCACACGTTCTGTCCATGCTCAGTACTGCTGACTGTAATGTCCAACTTTAAAATAAAAAGGGGTGGGGGGGGACTTTCAAAAGTAGAAATAATGGGAGTTGGGATTGGTTGGAACAAAGATGCTTCTGGGTGTCTTGTTGAAACTTCACTACAGAACTTGTGTATCCTGTGCCATAATGTAGAGATCTGTTGCTACTGTAAGATGGATTTTACCCACTGTCCACTTAAGTCGTTTCATTGGCACTTTTGTTTTAGTTTTAGCTCCACTGTTTAGGCCTTGTGGGAGATGTGTACTCTCACAGACACAGAAACCCATTTCAAGTCCTGTTTGCTGCATTTGTTCATTTCCTTTCTTTGCCACTTTTTTTTTTTCTCTATATCTGGGATACAGTTATCTTTAAGGCATCAGATTTCACATGCATAAACCAAGAAATGCCATAAATTGATTTATCACCTTGTTTACAGACAGATCAAATAAATTTATTCCAACCAAATGTGTCTGTTTCATGTTTTTTCCCTCCATGCTGTATGTTGCTTCTTTAAAGGATTTCAGGAAGTGCACCTTCTTGCTGAGAGTCAGACAAGACCCAGTTCTGCTCATGTCTGGCTATTTGTTTAAAGCTATAGCTAGTAACCTGTTAGCTTAGCATGGAACTGGAAGACAAACGGCTACCCTGGGTTTATACACAATACAGGTATTCTAACAAAGTGGATTAAGACCCACAGTAAAGCCAGACTGCTAGGTATTCCAGAAACTTGCACTGCTAATTTACTAGTAACAAGAAACAGGATTACTGAAGTGTTGGCATGGTTCTGCACAGTAATGACTCGATTCCATTCTAAATTAAGTTTTGCAGCCTACTTGGTAAATCCTGCTTAATGAAACGGGCCAAAAAACCTTTTCAATTTCTTGGTTGTTCCATCTCAGTGAAGCAGGCTGTAGTTGGTTGGGGTTTGTGGTGCTGTTAAAAGTTCACTGCACAGGTGTCCACCAGCATTATTGTTTGTGCTGAAGTTGAGCATCAGTTCGTGTCTGGGAAACAGTCGATGAAATCCTTTAGCCCCAGGTATGTTTTACTAGCTTGTCGGGAGCCACTAATTTCCAGTTTATTAGGTACACTTAGCTAATTGAATCCAGCAGTCCTGCAATAAATATGGCCAGATTATAATGTTCTGGTATAGGTTTAACTAATCACTTGGAGGCTGTTGAGCTGTATTGTGTCATACTGGCAGATCCTATTATTTTGTGGAACATATGAGGGTAAACTAAACATCTGTTTAACCTTTTGAGCGCTTTCTGGATTTGCACTTAGATTTGAAACAACTTTAAACCACCATGTTAAGATAGAAATGAAGATTTGACAGTTACTTTTCCACAAACTGGGCCAACTTTCTGCTGATTAACAGTAGTGGAAGAAGCAGGAAATGTTCACAACTTGGAACAATGTAAAAATACCCCATTACAAGTAAAAGTCCATTGAAATTCCCACTTTTGTAAAGAGTATTATTGCTACCTGTTGTAGGTGGTGCTAGTTTTAACTGCTTTATATACAGTCAACTAGTGTAATCCAGTGGTTCCTAAATTAGGTTTAGCCTAAATTTGGAGTCTCTTCCTGCCTAGTAGGTTGATCCCGTAAATTCTGTTTAGGGTGTTTGTGCTGTTTATGTCCATGTGAAAGTGAGCAGAGCTATATGATCAGGTTCATGTCTGGGTTTCTGGGAGCGGCTGTATAGCAGATGCTCTCGGGTCCCACTGGTTTTTGTGATTAAATACCTATGAAGACTAGGGTTGAGTTAGGCAGATAATTTGTTCCAGTCTTAGTTAGCAAGGGGCTTGACTATTGATGTATGGCTACTTTAGTTGGTATCACTGGATTACTGTGCAACAGTACACAGTAAGTTACTATTGTTTAGATTGTACTATGGCCTCTTTAGTCCTCCTCAGAAGAGCTTTTGGAACATTGTACAAAGGACAAGCTTTTGAAGATTGCTGAGAATTATGGGACCGAAGTTGTGGAAAAATGTATGAAACACACCAATAACATTTGTAAAAACAAATTGCTGGAAGATGGACTATTGGTAACTGTGTTTTTAACATTTGAACAACAAAGAGAACTTCTGAAGTTACAACTAGCGCATGAGGAAACTAAACAAAAGCAATGGGACATTTAAGTAATGATACAGAAAACTGGACTAGTTAAACTGGAGCTACAGCAATGAAAGCTTATATATCTTAGATAATGGGAGAGGGAAAAAGTAATGATACAGAAATCTGGATTCATTATTCAGACAGCTCTATGTTTTAGTTAATATATTAGATAATTTACCATTTTTGGGCCTCAAATAAGTGAGGCATGAACTGTCCCTGTAAAGTGAATTTGTGCCATTTTAGAGTGGAAATTTCCTTTTGGTGCATTTGCTGACAACCCAGTCAAGGTGATAACTACCCAGGATTTAATGAGACACAATTACACACACTGTTTTGTAAAGGGATCAAGTCAAAGAGGGTGGAACCACTTGTTTCATTAAAAATGTATATTTTCAAAAGTCAAGTAAAAATGTGGTGCAGAAAAAAGTGCAATACATCCCTGTGGAGAAGTATAAAGTAACAGGTAAAATACATCAAATTGAACTTGTGTAAATGTGCTTACGATTGAAAGCTTCAGAATAGCTACTAAATGCACCTTGAGGGCTATGGTTGTGTCAGCTAGTGGCATTTACACTTAAGCTGGAGAATGGCACAGTGGACGGGACAGGAAACCCCATTGTTGCATCTTTATTATATAGCTGACAGGAAATGAGGGGACAGAGAGATGGGGAATAACGTGCACAGTGGATGTTGTTACTTAAAACCCTCAGGGCACCACAAAAAACCCTGTGTAAAATTACACTCATTAACTGAAAAATTAAAGGCATTTGACAAGAGTGAAGGCCCCTTAATTTCCACTTGCTTAATGAGCTATGCCACAAATAAATAGGCTGATTTGTATAATGTGAATGGACTATTACACAGGACAGTTTTACTGGAGATAGTTTCTCTAGTTAAACACGCTGCTGTTGTTGCGTTAAGACAATAATGACGATGTTGAGTTGGTGAAACTGCAACCGGATTGGCGACCGCATCGTTAGCCACAACACTGACAGTGAACAGGTTCCTTGTCACGTCATTCTCATTTTATTGATATCATACTGAGAACAAATACATGAGCAAGGGAACAACAATGAAACAAAAGTTTAGACTGAACAAGGCAAAAGGATTTGTCAAAAAAAAAAAAAAAATCAAACCATGTTATGAAAAGAAAACTTGCGTATTTACTATAAACAGTATTAAAATGAGATCAGGTCAGTTACATGTGTATTACAAAGCCTATCAACCATAACTGCTTGTGTTACATGAAGTGATAGGTCTGGAGCAGCCATGAGAAGCTGGACACAAGCAGTGTGGACACAGTTTTCACTCTACTGTGTCTCGACGCTGTAACCTAGTGTAGCCCACAACATAATGCTGACGTCACAGGGAGAGCACATTCTTAGCATCGAATGGTTTCTCACTCTGGCTTGGTGTCAGTTTCTCTTATTGTGAATCACTTTAACAGACAAACTGTGGCACAAAACACAAACGGGAGCACCTGGGCTCCTTCATATGTCAGCCCGGAAACACACTGACAAGACCATATTGCCGTGGTTGAAATATTTCTATACATGCTGAATGTTAGTTTTACAAAAAAGATGCTGCATAGCACTTGAGGATGTGCCAGTTTAGCAGGAACATGTATGTACAATAATGGCCCTTCCCGAAACATCAAATATATAAGAGATAATCAAAAGGTAATTTATTTAGGCAGCTATACTTTATATGTACAAATTACTTTTACTGAGCTTTGTGTCAAGTGGGATCTTGTGTATAGGACCTGTGATACCTGTGTATCATGTTTTATGACTAAACAGAGTAGCGTACTGTATGTCAGTTCCATCAGTCCTGTTAAATCTGCCAGGAAACCCTTAAAATAGGCTCACTGACTTCCTGTCACAACATTTAATCATCAGTGATGTTAAATAAAAAACAACAGGTATGTATTAGAACTTATGGGAGGATACATTATAATGTATTGCAAGCAGTGATAGAAGGATCTGAATGATAGATCTGTTACGTGCCCCCAGTTAACGTCTCTGCAGCTGTGAAGTTGGGGAGGGTGGGGTCCATAGTGGCCAATCAGGCCAGCCAGCAACCAGTCAAGCTCGGGGCAGGTCGTGCTCGAGGCCTTCAGAGCACGGCTGCTGCATCTGCACCACTACAGTCTCCACGGTGACCTCCTCCTCACTGTCACTGCTGTCCAGCTCATTGTCCTCGTACTCGGAGGACTCCCGGTCTTGCTCTGAGTGCGATGCTCCAGACATGGTGCCGAATGAGTGCGCACTGGTGGAGGCCAGAGAACGCAGCAACGGGGTGTTTTCCGACACCTCCTCATTTTCCTCAGGACCGCTCTCCCCCTCCTCTGAGTCGGAGTCGGAGTCGCCCTGCGAGGGGACCACCTTCTGCTTGCACACCGGGCACGTCTTCTTAGTTTTGGTCAGCCAGGGGTCCACACACTTACTGTGGTAGGCTGAGGACAAAAGGTTGTTGTTTTAATTAGTTGCCTGACAGTTCATTAATAATGCATAATTTTTCAAACAAAAAATAGACATTCCCTAGTTTCTGCTTCCAAGTTGTGAACATTTCCTGCTTGTCTTTGTTTGATGTCATTGAAAATTGACCACCTTTGTGTTTTGGACTTTAGAATGGGGAAAATGGATTTTAAGACATGAGTTGGGCTTTAGGGGAGCATTATCAGCCTTGCTCAACATTTTCTGATACTTTAAAGACCAAACAATTAATCAATGAAGTAATCTGTAAATATTTCACCAAGTAAAACAAATGGATCCAGTGTTAAGTTACTCAGCCAACTTATCAGTAACCGTGAACACAGGATGCTTCTCTTCGTACCTCTAGATGTGTTTTGAACTCATAGAGCAAAGGTTAATAATAGGAGAACGGGATAATACTGGATAGTTGTTATCTACAGAATAAAACAATAATCATTCCTGTACAGAAAGAATCCAAGGAATCTAGTGTCCCAGTGGTTTCTGTCCACGCTCCAGTATGTGTAGTTCTTTGACTTGGTGTGTCAGGATCATTGTGTGGTGCAGAAGGGTTCAGACTCACCGTGAGAACATGGCAGCACTCTGAGTTTGTCCCCTTCTTCGTATTCATCCAGACAGATGGCACACACATCATAGTCATCCCCTGGGTCACAACGACAAGAAAAATGATCTGTAACTGCTTTTAAATAAACACATTTAAGAGAAAGTGGTTTAATGAGCATTCGTTTCCTGTCGACAAGTGGGAGTGCATTATTGTCAGGTAACTAAATGGTTATAAATAATGCATTAAATGAGGGCTAACAACAGTACATGGATCATCTTTGGGTCTTACACCACTGACTAACGCATTGTACTGTGCAAAAGCACAGCTTTAAGACACTGGTTGTGAGTGTGCCCCCAGGTTATTTTCAGTGCACAGAAGATTACCTAGTTGTTTTTTTGTTTTCTTGAAGGTGGTTCCACGATGTGTCAGGCAGTTAGGAACTCCAGCCGCATCACCAGTCTGATTTCCTTAAACTCTGCCTACTTCTGCATGCCAGCAAAATCACTGCTAAACAGCCAGCGCTGCGTTTCCTGATGTTACAGGAGATGCAAAGTCTCCCTGTGCACTAAAAGCTCAGGAATGTATCGACGTACTCCCTTCCAAATTCCACTGCTTTCTTCTCTTTTTCCTTCCCTTCCTCTTCCCTGGCTGTGCTGGAAGGTGGGGAGGAGGGGGCAGGGCTGTGGGCCGGTGTGTTTATGTAAGCTTGATATGAGCATGTTTTCCCTGACTGGGCTTTCTGTGTCCACGCCAGGGCTGCATGTGACCGTATAAGGATGGGGAGTCACATCGACTTCTGGCCCCCGCTCCCGCCTTTTCCTTTTCTCCCTGAGCATCACTGACTTCAGCTCAAGGCGATGTTTCCAACTCTGCTCCCTCTGAGTTTTTTTTCCTCCCTCCTAAACATTACTACCAGCCTCCTCTTTAGTCAACACTCTTCTTCCTTTTCCTTTGACATTATCCCAGAGCAGCATCCATCTTTTCCTCTGGTTCTCACTCTCTCAGGCCTGTGCTGGACAGTCGGGGTCAGGGAGAGGGAAGGTTTATGCAGGCGTGGTTCCAGTATACACTCAGCAAATGCTGAACTGTGGCACTAACTGAGCTATTCTTAGTGAAGAAGAGAAAAGGTTCAGTGGCTTTCCAGACCTTAACTGCTAAAGACTGTTCTGGGGAGATAACAAACCAATCTGGGTATCACTGAAAATATTTAAATACACAACACAACAATGAACAGTTATAGCTTATTTCAGCTTGGCTCTTATTAATGTCATTTTGGCCAACATTCCTCCTGGAAGAACAAACAATGTGATGTAGCAGCATGACAGAAATTCCACAACCAGACTCTCTTGGTTTAGGTTTGACCAACCACACGTGCAGAAGTAGCATGAGATATTTTGCATTCCCTCTACCTCCCTTACCTTTTTGCTTGTTACAATGTGTCTAACAGCTTGTGTGCTTTTGCCCAGTTGGACTTCACTGTGGAGATGTCGCTGTCTCTGGATCTTAGCAATTACTTGTCATAAATCAGAAAAGCCAGCCAGATAACCAGAATGACCCTTTAAGGCTGTTCCCTTACATTGTGGAATATAAAAACGCTTTTTTACTGTTATTTTTTAAAGCCTTTTATTTAAAAAAGCACTGTATTTAATCTGTCTGCGTTGTGACACTGCAAGTTAAGTCTATCCTTTGTACAGTGGAAATGAAAAACAATGTTGTTTGCTAGCTTTCAGTGGATTTTTAAATATAAATAATTCAAAGGATCTGGACACTGTAACACTAAATACAAACAAACATGCCTCGCAGTAGTAAAAGATGCCCCCAGCCCATCCCGGGACTCCAGTGGCCAGTGAGAAACCTGCAGCGTAGTGTTCTGCAGCAGGACATAAATCACAGTCAGCCCTCATCACAGAACAACTTACAGCACTCCTGCTGACCAAGGATCCTGCTCACACCTCATTTCTAGATGCTCCGACCAGAAATCAGCTTGGAAATATCATTTCTGTGACCTGTACGTGTGTGATCCAGTTACATGAGTCTCACATGTGCAGTACATTAGGATCAGCACAAGTAGAAGTCAAATGGTTTTCTTGTGCTCTTGCTGATTTTTTTTTTATTATGAAGGCTGTTTCCCCATCACCCCCTCAAGTCTTGTGTTTTGGGACACGTCAGCTCTGACTTCTGGGTGGTAAAATATATATTTTCAATGTTTTGGCACTGTGTATACCTTTCAGATGCTGGGAATCCCTTACATTTATGTTTTAAGGCCAGTAGCACATCTTAAAAAGGAGCCAGTACAGCTCTTCTCCCCTGCCTCTATTTATCATTAATCAGCCAGCCTGCCAGCATTCCTGGCTCTCAGAGGAACCACACTGTCCTACTGAACTTCACATGAGCAGCAAATATGTGTAGCAGAGCCAGAATGAGCAGGCGAATGAAAGAGAGGGGGACAGAAAAACTCATCACTGCTTGAGCCAACCAGACAAGGGCAACTGGAGACAGAAAAGATCCTCTGTACTAACATCGACATGCCTCACACACAGACGGCTGAGACACTGCAGCTGCTCTGTAAGTGTGTGTTTGTGTGTGTGAGAGAGCTCCCTGCCTATAGTGTGGAAGAAGAACGCTGAGGGGAGGGAGGAATCAGACTGGAAGCCAGGGGTCACGGGGGAGTCCAACCTCCGACCTTGAGTGAAGGGTTGAAAACAATCTCCCTCATTTCCTCAGCCAGTTTGCAGTTCATTGCATGTGTTTGTTCCCTTTTTAACTTTAGCATCTACTGGACACCGGTTGCTGGTGAAACTATCCACCCCGAGGACCAAAACTCACTGTCCAAAGGGGTTACTTTGGTCCACCCCGAGGACCAAAACTCACTGTCAAACATCAGGTTTACAGCCTAAGTGGCTATGACGGAAGGCTCTGCAATAAAACCGGAGCGTAATTCAAGTTAATGAGAGAGCTGTGTTGTGTGGCAACAGCCATGGCAGCTGCTATTACATAATCCTTAGAGTGACACAGGTCTTATGTTGCATGCTGCTGCTCGGGCTGGTATTGTGCACCAATTACATGGGTACCGTGGTTTTCATTAAGGCATTGTGCACCATCAATACAGGGTCCCTTTGTTTGTCTACTATTCAATTCAGCCAGACTCCCATTTCCATACACGCAAGTCTGACGTTACGCAATTCCAAACATCACCACCTTTGGCCTAAATAGAAGAAATGTGTGAAAAAAAAAGCAAAAAAAACCCAAACATTTTACCAAAGTGTTTGCAGAGGTGACAGCTACAGTAGAAATGTGACTGTGCCAGTCTCAGCTACTCTGCCAGAGAAGGTAGATGGTGGGCAGACACACTCATCAGCAGAAAGGCATCCTGCCAGTACAGCTGCAGCCTAGGCTACTTAACATCTTCTCTAACTGATTTCACTCTCTGATAAAAGGCATCATACCACTGGTGCATTTAAAACTCTTCATACTAACGCATTCAAACAGAAAGAAAACCACAGGTGTGGTCACTCTAATGCCACCCACAGGCTTCTGATGAGATGTTTTGATGCTTGGATTTGGACTTCACTGCTATCTTGGTCGTTGGTTGTTACTACCAATTAGAGATTAGAAATCTCTAATTGGGACAACATGGGCAGAGCCTAACAAACCAGCGGAGCTGTGGCTCAGGAGGTAGAACCATCATCCCCTAACCGGAAGATCGGCAGCTTGATTCCCGTTCTCCCCAGTACTCAAGTCAAAGTGTCCTTGGGCAAGACACCGAACCCTGGGTTGCTCCCGATGGCCAGAGCAGAACCTTGCAGGGACAGCACCGCTATCAGTGTGTGTGAGAGCTGGTGCTGCAGGTGGCTGCCTCGGTTCTGTACCGGAGACAAATTCCTTGTGTGTGTAACATACTTCGCCAGTAAAAAGTGATTATCATGATCAATACGGCTGAGGAACACAAACATGACCTAAAATGTTTGTTTTGGGTCATGATAAGCAATGTTCAGAGAAGCTATTCTTGTTAATAGAGGTTTTACGCTTACTCTAACAGTAAACCCCATCAGACAACAGAAGTGCTGCCACACTGATCTCAGTCCCTCTTGTTACAGCTCCCATGCTCAACCCGGGCCATCTGCTTCCTTGCCAGGTTAGCATTGCTACAGAGTGCAGGGCTTAAAAGGTGATTAGGTGGAGATTTGGTGTCCCCTTCCTGTGTCGCCAAATGCTCTGACTCAGCTGACAGGAGCGCAGATGGAGGTGGTTTCCTGGACATCTGTACTCTCTGTAAACAGCCAAGGTCAACTGTAGCAGTGCATGGTGGAAACCCTGAGTCAGAGTGGGTGCTGCTCGAAGACGCAACCAGCAGAGCGCACAAACCACAGAGCGTGACATGACATAAACTATCTGAGCAACACGCTGCTTTCAGCTGGAGTGTTGCATGCACATCTGTTATGGCCCGGTGGGGAGGAGCAGCTTGGCTCATATTTCCCTCAATTAGCAGATTTGCAAAGGGGTTACTTATTATGCACCACCCATAGTCTACAAAGCTCCCTGGTGTTTCCCTCTGCACAGCTGATTGTAGCCAAGGGCTGTCCAGTGTGCAAAATACAGCTGCTGGAGGGAAAACAGCTGCCATAAAAAAACTCTAAATACACAGATAAAACTTAAATGACCAAGGTACAAAGGATCTGCATTGTGAAACAATGTTAGAGTCAGTCTGTGCCTTGTACCAAAACAAAGGGGGAAGCACAGGTGGAACCTTTCACTACAAGATACGACAGAGATCTGTCAAACTCACACACTTATTCCCTCTCTATCCCCACAAACAACAAACACCTAATTTACATCTGCTCAACAGGTTTGTGATAAAAAAAAAAACAAGACCCATTTATCTTTCAAGCCCATCAGGCGTCCAGCATGACTGACACCACATTCCAATCCATCACTCGTGTGTCCAGTCTCAACAGAGAGGAGCTCTAATCTGCCACCGGAGGGCTTTGTGGGGGAAAAGATCCCATATTAATCTGATTAACTCCGAGGTGCGGAGCTCAAGGGAAGGATGACGTGTGGTAATGCACTGATGGGATCTCTCTTCTGGGCTAAATCATGTAAGTTAGAGCACCAATACTGACTGTTAGAGTCGAAAGATGATTTTCAATTTGTAGTTTCCTGGATCCTAGTAAAGCGGAGCGTAAAAGTCTAGAAAGAAAAATGAGAGTTTGTAAAGTTTTTTAACCATGTTGATAGAAAAATACCTACACACTGGCATCAGAGCTCCAAGTTGGTTTGTCAGGCTCCAAACTTTGTCAAAACCTCACTAATAAAATTTCAGAAAGCGCTGAGTCTTGTGCACGGGGACTTTTCTACTGTTTCCCAGTTTATTTTGTGGCATCCAGCATCTTTCGGACAGAGACTGTGAAGATGCACATGGCTAACCCCACCTCTTGAACCCAGTCTTACTGAATCTTCCCCAGCTATTTACTCCTGACAATAAAAGACTAAGATTTCAGTGTTACAGTCACTACAAACGGAGATGTTTCAGACTGCTTCCCTACCTTTCTTGTACTTGTGAATGGGGAGTTTCTTCAGCTGATCTTTGTGGAGACGGCTCCTTCGAGCCCTGTGTCGATCCTGGACAAATTTGGTGATCTAGTCACAGCGGAAGAAAGAGAAACCTGTCATCTAAAATTAGAACATACAACATACACAGAACTACCTTTCTTGTCCAGGAGCCTAACTGTGATTTCCGTCTCCCGAGCAATACTGTTACATAAGGAACAGTCCAACATTTTTTTTTGCCCAAATTGAAAGCCAAACTTCTGCTTGCCACTATAACACTACTTCAGGTGCAGACTGAAGGCTGGATTACTTGATGAAAAGCCAGTTTGTGCTCAAAACCTACTTTTCCTAATGTAATTAAGTATAAATTTGAACAGTGTTAACAGTGTTGTGAGGTTCCAGGGGGCAAAAGTCCATTACTTTACCAGATATTTTAAGTTTAAAGAACTACATAAAGTTAAAAAAAAAAGTGCTACTGTACCTGTCTTTATATATGCTCGTCGCTTCCTTAGGAGAACTGTTGTATTTCATGTTAAAACCAAGATGTCTTAAATGTACCTACCATAAACACAACAATGAGGATGAGACAGATTCCCACGATGATGAGGAACGGGATCAGGTAGTACTCCAGTGGCAGGCTGAAATCCGGCATGAGGACCACATGTCCCCTAAAAAACAAGCAGAGCCACTGTCAGGTGAAGAGAAGAACATAAACATCAACCTTTGGTACAGATGAGTGAGTAACATATCTCTGCTTCAGCCAAATCTGTAATGGCTGTGGACAAAACTGTTCTAATACTATGTTTGGTGTTGATTCCTCTGACTGCAAAAGTCTTGTGAATAACCCTCATGTATTCAGATGGTGTCGGACACCACTCGTGCTCAGACCAGCTGATATGAAATTGGAGAAATGGGATTTTAATGCTGCGACTCTGAGCTACTCTGACAGACCGAGACATTTCATTACCAGATTATCACCTCAGCAGCAGAACCATATCTCTATTTATATTGATGGACAGAAAAATGAGTCTGGGGTTAGACTTACCCCTTGTCATACACAAATTCTTCTCTCAGAGAGTTGGCAGTCTCCTCGCCCACAAACACAGAAGGAATATCTATGTGCTTCATAATATCCACTATAAAGGGAAACAAAGAGAAATGTTAATGCATCACGTGACTATTGGCACCAAACTCTAATGAGCAATCTCATCCTCAACCTGGCATTAAAATGGGAAAATCATTTCTGTACACTTGAACCAAGTATCACGGCTAACATCAACGGATAGAGTTTGCCTTTGGTGTTTTAACTGATGAAGAGGAGGAGGAGACAGTGATAACGTACAATCGTTGGATCCCATGCGGATTAAATCATCAGAGTCCACATTGTGAACGATTGCTGCCCTGTACCCGGCTTTCTGGGCATTGAGGACCTGTGAGGAGACAAAACATTTACATCCTGATTGTTAATAATGATAATAAGAAGAAGAAATCCTGGTAACACCTGGTAACTTTTAGTAGGCTAACTTCGACCACTACTACAAGCCTAAAAACAGCCCTAAGTGAAGGTGCTATGTGAGATAGCAGAGGTTTTGTGACAGATAATGTGACCAAATCTGATTTCCACTATCTGACAGAGCAGCATCAAATCCCATTAAGCGTGACATTGAAATAGAAACCAGTTGTGGTTGGCAAGGGAAAAACTCTCTCTGATTCTTCTGAGCCAGAGTCCTGCTTGAACTACACAAGTCATCCATGTACAATCTGCAAACTTCCAGTTAAGGACACTGTCTGCTGCTCATATGAACTCATTTATGACCTGGCTTTGCTGACTGAACTCTCATAAAGGGAATAAATGTTACTTTATCTTGTTTCTCAGCATCTTAATTACAGTAGCAGTTTGAGAGGAAGCAGAGATCACAGGTAAGGGAAGGGCGAAATGAGGGAAACAAACCAATACCAATGGAAAAGCCAAAAACCCTGAAACCCTTTAAATTCTTGCTACAATTTTGTGCCAATTAAGTGGCATAATAAAGTTTTACAGATGACTATTGTCACCTGGATGTACTGACGTTTCACTTAAATCCATGCTTTCACCGCAGGTCGAGCTTTTACAATGTACAGGAATCATTTAAAAAGTCAAATAATTATAGCAAGAAAAGAAACTTCCCAGCAGCCGAGGGCCATTTGTGCTGAATCAGTGATGTGGGGGAAACTGCTGTAATGGGCTCAATCTGTGAGGCACTGACACACTACAGCGGCTTCAGTATCCTGTACAGCCATTGTTGTGGCTAATGGCTCATAGCAGATGTGAGGGGGAAACAGGATGTGACGATATAATCTTGGCATTAATCATTACGTGCTCATACACAGACACAGTGATGCTGCTCCATCGCGGCCACAGCAGTACTGCCACTACCCCCACTTTGTTGCCATTTCCGTAAAATCTAGAAAACTATTAGTGACACAGAAGCAGGAGCCTAGGGTACGGCGAATACACACATAAAAAAAAGGCAACCAAAAATCACTGATCATCTACACAGTAAAAGAATCACAGGGTGAACTGTTCCTTTGCACAACTGCTCCCTGAAGCCACCAAGGGAATGCTGATGTGAATTATTAGTCAGTTCCACCTTCCTGTGGTAAATTAACACCCCGTCCAAATCCAGACACTGAAGGTGAGACTGTGATGTGCAGGCGGTGCCGTGCAAAGAAGAGAGCTGCAGAAAAACATCGCCGTGAAATATATGAAAGTTACCTGCTCTGTTAAATAATACACGACTGCTCTCACTAACCCGAGCAATCAGTGTTGTATTAGTGCAGCGTTTGAGCCCCGCAGTTCGGCCCGAGGCCGTTTATATGAGTAGTGCGTTCAGTGGTGATGTAAGGAAATCCACTTAGACCTGCGAGGAGCAAGAGTGTATACTGTGGCCTTCTTGGACGCTAACAGTTAACAGCTTTGTTTTTTGTCTCTTGTCATTATAATTTATGCGCAGGCATAAGTGAAGCAGTGTGTATGGCAACTGCAGCATTGTGAGCCAATGTGTTTGAGTGTGAGGGCGTATTGTGTGAAGGTAGCAGTGGCTGCTATCAATGTGTGCGTCTAGAAGGAAGGCTGGCTGGATAAGTGACGTGCACACACAAAATACTGTGTCTGGAGGTGTGTGCGTGTTTTGAGGAAGGAAAGGTAGGTGGAGGATGATTGTACAGCATCAATGATTTGTCTGTACAGTATGTACATTATACAAGCTGCTGTGCAGTGAAAGTAAGGGGCCGTCGAGATGCCAGTGTGTGACGTGGTCCATTCGACTGGGATCTGCAGAGGAATTCGACCTCTGCTGTTGGCTCACCCTTCTGTTTGCACGGGCAATGATAAGGGCATTCACTGCATTCCTGAGACTGAAGAGAGGGGAGGCAGTAAGAGAGAGAGAGAGAGAGATACAGAAAATCAGGACGGGAGACAAGATAAAGTGACCCGTGAAACTCTTGGGAAAAAATAATTCAAAATCCTGTGTGACTAGTAGGAGTGGGCCCACTGATCCCCACAGTACTGTTACTACCAATAACAACAAGTTTTGTTTTTATTTAAGCATCTATAATAGTGTATACTAAAAGTACTTCCACCCCCGCTGGCTGTTTATGGAGATTTACTACCCATTACTGTGCTAAACCTTCAAGTTCTTCTAGAAGCTGGACGATCGTGTCGTTTTCTGCTGGAACGCAGCATCCCCCACTTCAACACCACGTGCATCCTGTTAACATGGAGCAACCATCGACCCACTCGTGCTACACAGGGTTTAAACACAGACTTCTCACTGAAGCTAAGAGACAGACTGTACAGGAGCTGCTTTCATGGGACAAATCAAAGCTGGCTGGAAAGATGTAGTAGCTGCTACATAACGTTTTTATCTGTTGAATTTATGAGTTTTGTTGCTTCTTTATGATTTAAGTTTCATAATAATACAGTATTTAACATTTTAACTTAGTCAAATTCAAAACAAGACTGAAGCATGCTATGAAATAACTGAAATATCTATTCATATTAATATTAAAGGGATATTCCTCTGCTGAGGAACATGGCATGGTGTAAACATGAAGCTAAGTGCCTTTCTCAAGGGCATCTTGACATTTTTCTGTCATCACGTGACAGTGTGACTTGGCTCCAGAAACCTCTAGCTGTTTTTTTTAATGCCTTCCAAAGCCCACATCATTTTCCTTTTTTTTTACAACCAGGCTTTGGATTTAGAACAAAGTGCAAGCATAATAAGAATATGATGCTTGTTTTGTCCTCCTGCAGCACACTGGCTACATTTTGACTTGGCCTGCAGCACAGACAAAATGGGTTTATTCCCAAAGTTGGCCAATTATGGATTTTTCTTTTTAACAAATGAAATTCAACCGGTTGTTGTTTTGCTTTTGTGACTGAAATGAATAAGCTCTGGAAGATTTTTTATCAGGAGAGTAAAGGCACACTATACTGTTTGCACTTGATTGCGAGGTCGCTTTTCTGCTTGAAAATGTTTTTAACACACTTTTAACACTTTTAGTCAACCAAACTAAGATTACAAACACAGTTAAACCAGCTGTCCAGATGCTGCTGCTACAGATATGTTTTTCCATAAATACACTGTCCAAATAAACCAGCTGAACCCTCATTCTGCAGTAAGTACATAGACTTTAATAGCCCTTGGTAGCTGCATGGAGACCAATAGCACTGGGATGTGCATATGTATTGAGCAGATTCCTGGTTATGTGTAGGCCTGTATAGTGTAAATTAGAAGGAATTTAAAACAATCTATTTCAAAGTAGCTTTAGACTGCAGGTCATTGTACTATTGTTATTTGTGTGTGCTCATATTTATGTGTTGAAGCCCTGATTCCCATTGGTCAATGATGACTGGAGATGTGCAAAGGGTGTCACCTGGAGCTGCCTCACTCACTGCTGTGGGACTTAACTGTTTGGATCCCAAAAGGAGCATAAACGCCTCTAATTTTATAATAATGAAAGTGAAAAATGACAGAGCAGTTGTGCACACAGGTTCTTTGTGCCTCTGCTCTCCCAGAGCAGTAACTGTAAGACTGGTGGTGTGGACAGTGTGCTGATAGCACCACTAAGTATTGCTGCATCACGACTGTGACTGTGTGTGTTGATAATTACTGCTCTTTCACTCCTGCGTCTTTGTGCCACCAACACTGCACAATCTCCTCAAGCAATGCTGCAGCTAAGCATTCTGCCTCTTGTCTTCTTCCTCCATTTATACTACTGACATCTTCGTCCTCACACTTCCCTCTCCTCTTCTCTAGCCAAAGGTCCTGTTTGCGCCTTCACCTGTTTTCCTATCTCTTGTCCTGTGAAGCTCAGGCAGCTTTGCATAGAGCAGACTTGACCTAAGCTTTGTGTAAATGAGCCCGAGCAGCGCAACACACATTTCTCATGCAACTCAGATTAAAATTAGGTGATGCAGATAAAACTCAAGTCAACGTCTCGTCTCACCTTAAATGACAAGACACTATAACAGATACTTTTACAAATGCCGCTGTAGTTGTGGTGCAGCTACTATGGACGACCAAACATTCAAAGCTTCTATTCAAGCAGTTACTGGAAGTGAGAGGAGGAAACCAAACTCTTACATAGGAAAGTCCATCATGTCCCCTTGCCTGCCCAACTCATCTATTGTTGCCATTTCTCCATCTTTCCTCTAATTTTTTATTCTTAATAATGCATTCTTTATTAATTCATATAACTAGGGGTTTAATTTACTTTTTACATGTATTTCAAATGTGCACCAGCTTTCTCCTCCCACCTGTTTCCTCCTCTTGCCACCCTTCCTGTCATTTCTCCTCCCCTCAGTCTCCTCTTCTTTCTCTTCCCCTTTCCTACTTACTTTTTCTGTAAATGTTATCTCTTTTCTCTGCACTCATTGTTATATCACCTTGACCACCAGCTTCTCCAGAAATCTGCCCAGCCCCATCTCTAATACGTCCACCCTCATGCATTTATCCCCTCCCTCCCATTTCTCATTCGTTTCCCCTCCTCTCTTTCGTCCCACCCTTCCTCCTCTCTCTCCTTGGTGTTTCAGAGGAATACTGTGCAGACCAGAGCTGGGTTTTAGTTTCAAGGTCCAGACAGTTGATTAGATAACGAGTTCAATGAAACTGCAAACTGCCGGGAGGAGCCACAATGACTGATAACGCCACGCAGCTGCCGCTCATACAGTGCACTTCTGTGTGTGAAAGATAACCAAAACACACTTAAATGATGCTTCCTTTGTTCTTATTCTAATAAATTTTTCTTGTCTTTGATTTTAAACTGTGAGTGCTTTTATTAGATATTAAGTTTTACATACAAGTATACTGTATATATAAAGTGTAACATGCAACAATACAAAGTGGAACAACAGCAATTACTGTAGTGCACACATCCATATCAGTGC